TTTTTTAGAACTGAATTAAGTTTTACATACAAACAATAGTAAATATATCATTTTTAAACAGTCGTTCTACGAATACTGCTTCACCCATTCTCAAAATTGAATGATCACAGATTGAAAGAGCAACAGCTCTCAAATACTTATTAGATTAGATTTTAGATTAGATTCAACTTTATTGTCATTATGCATGTACAAGTACAGTCCAACGAAATGCAGCTTAGGTCTAACCAGCAGTGCAATAGCAGCAAGTGCAGGATACAGGTATAAGTTATAAAGTGCAGTTATAGAAAAACTGTGGTGATATTTACAGATGGATGTACTATTAACATTATATACAGGTTGTATTAGTTATGAATAGAGATTTACAATAGATGAATATATGTGCAGGTTGCTATTAATAATCAGAAGTGTGCAGATAAATAAACATAGTTACAGATGTATATGTGCATTGGGTGTGTACATAATTACAGATGTTTATGTGCAGTGGGTATGTACAGTTCAAATAAGTAAATCAGTGTAATGTTTGAGGAGAGTAGGGGGTTGTATTGGGGGGGGGGGGGGGGGGCAAAAGAGTCAGTGAGGGGCAGAGTTTAAGAAGGAGACAGCTCTGGGGAAAAAGCTGTTCCTCAGTCTGCTGGTTTTTTGTCCGGGGGAGCCTGAAGCACTTGCCGGAAGGCTGGAGTGAAAAGTGTCCTTCAGAATACTGCGTGCTCCGCGCAGACAGTGTTTTCTCTGGGTGTCCTCTATGCCTGGCAGTGTGATCCCTGTGATGCGTTGGGCAGTTTTCACCACCCGTTGCAGTGCCTTACGCTCAGCAACAGAGCAGCTTCCATACCAGACTGTGACGCAGTTGGTCAGGATGCTCTCTATTGTGCAGCGATAGAAGTTCACCAAGACGGCTGATGACTTAATATGCCTTAAGAAGAATAGGCGCTGCTAAGCCTTCTTGACCAGGCTGGAGGTGTTGGTGGTCCAGGAAAGGTCCTTTGAGATGTGGTTCCCCGGGAACTTGAAGGATGAGACAGGCTCAACGACCATCCCATTGATGTGGATGGGATTGTGTGAGCCTGTTCGTCCCTTCCTGAAGTCCACAATGAGCTCCTTGGTCAGATGGTTTGTGTTAAGGAGCAGATTATTGTCGGTGCAACAAGTGGCCAGATGCTGTATCTCCTCCTTGTAGGCAGTCTCATCATTATTGCTGATTAGACCAATCAGTGTGGTGTCAACTGCAAGTTTGATGATGGTATTGGATCTGTTCACAGGCCTACAGTCGATAGTAAAAAGGGACTGGAGGAAGGGGCTCAGCACACAGCCCTGTAGTACACCAGTGTTGAGTGTGACAGTGGCGGAGCAGATGTGGCCTGATCTAACATTCTGAGGTCTGTTAGTCAGAAAGTCTATAATCCACTTGCAGAGAGGCATGTCGATATCCAGGTATCTAAGTTTGACTTGGATGGTATGACACCGTTGAATGCTGAGCTAAAGTCAACAAACAGCATTCGTGCATAAGTGTTTTTATTGTCCAGGTGTGTGAGTACAGAGTTCAGTGCTATGGAGACTGCATCTTCTGCCACGGTAGGCAAACTGATGTGGATCCAGTGTGGATGGCAGAGAGTCTTTTTGATGTGCCAGCACCAACCGCTCGAAGCAGTTCATGATGATGGGTGTGAGTGCTACAGGGCGGTAGTCATTCAAGCATGTTGAGCTGGAGTGTTTGGGCACTGGCACAATAGAGGTGGTTTTAAAGCATATTGGCACAGCTGCTAGGTTAAGCGACAGGTTGAAAATGTCTGTGAATACCCCAGCCTGTTGTTTTGCACATGCTTTGAGGATGTGCCCAGGAATACCGTCTGGTCCAGCAGCCTTGCGCACATTGATCCGGCACAGTGCGGTGTAGACTTCTGAAGAAGTGAGTGTGATAGGTGAGTGGTCGGTTGAGGAAGTGATTCTGGTGTAGGGTTCTTTATTGTCTATTTCAAAGTGGGCATAAAAGTCATTTAGCTCGTTTAGGATGGAGACATCTGTGGCTGTGGGTGTGGACTGGCTGGGTTTGTAGTTGGTGATAGGCTGGATACCCTGCAACATTCGCTGAGGATCAGAGTTGGAAAAGTGCTCCTCTAGCTTTAGCTTGTACCTGTGCTTGGCCTTTTTGATGCCCCTCTTTAGATTAGCCCTGGAAGTGCTGTAGGCCAGTGCATCCCCTGATCTGAAGGCAGTGTTGCGTGCCTTCAGCAGGAGGCGCACCTCCTTGTTCATTCATGGCTTCTGATTTGAGTATGTAGTGATCGGTTTCTGGGTTGTAACACTGTCTATGGTGGTGTTGATATATTCCAGAACAGAGTAAGGCCCCGTTTACACTAGTGCGTTTTAGTTTGAAAACGCATAAGTTTTGCTACGGTTCTGAGCAGTGAGGCCGAAATCATGTCGCGTTTCTACTGTCGGGCTAGTATCTAGCAGCGTGTCATGCAAACCCCGCCCCCAGAACGTCCCCCTAATCAAATGTCTGATTATCAAATGTAAATCTGATTGGGGCTGCAAAATTTGATTGGGGCTTTTCCTCAATATTAAGTAGCCCACACACAGTTCAGTCTCGCATCCTCTTCTTGTAAGTTAAGACCTCGCAAGTTTGATCAAGGCTGCAGTCTCCCCCTTCTCAGTTTGATATGGAAAACATATCGAGGACACGGGTAAATCTTCAAAGGGAACAGTGTACTTTATAACTTCATTCACATCACCTTGGCTACGTTGTTTCACTTTCTCAACAATAAAATGTAAACATGATTTAAGGAACTGCCTATTTTCTTTTTAATATTAGCAACTTAACAGACAGCAGAAATGTTGAGGCGCCGTGCTGCATTTATGAGCGTCATCTTCACTGTGTGGATATTTATAACAAAACGGAGCCTATAACAACTGCCTCCTTTCAATTTCAGTAAAAATACGAAACGCACCCTCTTTTGCTGAATATCAGTTTTAATAATCGATAATTATAAAAGTATAACATACAATAAGTTTATACATTGTAGGAAATAAAGGCAAGCGATCAGTCAATGTACCTGGATTAATCATTAACTTATCTTTGCGCTTAACCAAAACATGTTACCCGTGAACAAGTAACTTAATAGATTCCAATGACCAAAGTCAGGGAATTGGCCTATGTCGTTAGATAAAGAAAACAACATGAATGAAATATCACGTTTAGCAAATATAGTGAGATTAGATCCAGCAGGAGATGCTTGATGAGCAGTCCGACAAGCAGAGCTCTCATCTGGGTAGAAATGCTGGAGCGCTTGCCCGACTGTGTGTGTGTGGTCACGTGATGTGCGTTTTCAGCGTTTTGGTGTGGACGGAGAGCTGTTCAGAAACGCTGGGTAAAACGCGAGTGTGGACGCGGATCGTTTTCATTCTACAACGCCTAAGTGTAACTGTCAATGTCTGTGTGAGAGCCACGTGTGGACTGGTAAACAAACATACTCCAGTCTGTGTGTTGAAACCTGTCCTGGAGTGTGGAGTCTACCCCCGCCAACCACACTTTGATGGTCCTCACAGATGGCTTCACACGGTTGTTGAGGTGTTAGTTCTTGGGGGTAAGGAACAAAGAAAGGTGATCTGATTGACCCAAGTGGGGGTGGGGGGGGGGGGGGGGGGGGGGGGGGGGGTTGGGGGTTTGTTTCCCCTTGTGTGGCAGAAAATATTTTGATGGAATTTGGGGAGCACTGTCTTTAAGTTTGAGTGATTAAAATCCCCCGCAACAATAAAAGCAGCCTCTGGGTGAGCAGTCTGTTGTTTGCTGATGGCTACATGAATTTCGTTTATAGCAAGCTTGGCATCAGTATCAGGAGGAATATAAGCAGCATTCACAATGGTGGATGTGAACTCCCTTGGTAGATAAAACGGTCTTCTTTTAACCATTAGAAATTCCAGGTTAGCAGAGCAATGTCTTCCAACGACGAAGACATTGTTAATATAAATGCATTATCCTCCACCTCTGGTTTTACCGGAGTCATCCGCTGTTCTGTCTGGTCGGAATGTGTGGTGCTCAGTTAGCGATGCAGCATTATCTGGTATCCCACTGTTTAGCCATGTTTCTGTGAAAATCATGACAGTTTTTGCTGTGGTTGATGCGCAGTCAAATCTCATCCATTTTATTCACCAGTGACCGTACATTGACGAGAAAGATGCTGGGTAAAGAGAACCGGTGTGGTGTTAGCTTTAGCTTAGCTCTTAGCTGGCCTCGCTTCCCCCGCCTTTATATGAATATGTTGTGATGAAAAGTTAGCATTTGATGTTAATATCGATTGCTTGGTGAAAAAACCTTAAATCAAGATTGCCAATGTTTAAAAAAATAATAATTTAAAGTAAGAAAGTCAATAATTCACTCTAAGTTTTACTTATGGTATGATTCCAAAATATATGTTTATTCTTTTGTGATTCTGTAGAATTAACTATTTCACCAGATTTTCATCTGAAATTGAGATATAAGTGCTGTGAATTCATTCTGAACATGAAAAATTAGCTTTTTCTTATTATGCTCTTTGGCTGTGGAAAAGTTTGAAAAAGTGAATGCTTTCTTTCACCAATTCTAAGCATTTATTGTAGTGTGTGTTGAATGAACCTTGTAATTGTTTTAGTTAGGAGGTTAAAGTGCAATACATGTGTTTTAATTATATAATGTTTATTTTTTATTTTATATGTCAAGTTATATAAAAGATAGGCTAAATATGAAACGTTTCTGTACGGTCATCCTGGCCAGGACTCCTTGGAAGAAAGGATTCCTGTTAATTGCAATGGGACCTAATAATAAGTACATTAACATATCTTGTACATAAATATCAGATATCCATCTGATCCCAAACCCATTTGAAAGTAGTGCATATAACAAAATAAAATTATACATGCAATGCAACTTTGTAACTGTAAGCTCCACTTCTTGTCTCAGAAAAATGACCTGTGCTGTTGTCATCACACTGTCAGTTATTCTTAATTACCTCTTTTTTTTCCAGCAATGGGCATACCCACCAGTGCAGTGTTGCTGTTTGAGGTAGAACTGTTACAACTGCAAAAAGGTGTTCCTGAGGGCTTTTTGTTCATCTGGCTACATGACAGTCCTGAGCCGTTGTTTCCTGCCATGGATATGAACCAAGACCACAAAGTTTTACTAGAAGAGGTATGTTCTCTGCTTTCTTATTATTATTAATGTTAATGAAACGATTTCTACATGGGCATATAGAAGAATTAATTAGGAACCAAGCACCAGTGGTGCATAGACCCTATTGAAATTGTTCCTGTCAGGGTTCTGCCACTTTGGTCTTGTAAATTCTTGTTTTGGTGGCAGAGCTCTGACACTACTCCACGTCTGGTCCTGTTTCTGTCTCTGTGTGCGCGCGCGCGCCGTCGTGGGTGTACGCAGAGTGTGCGCGCTGCCACTTGATGTGGCCGCGCACGCTCTGCGTCCCTCAGACGCGCGCGCTCTTGTACTAGTGTTTGTGTTTGTTCTGTCAGCAGCGCGCTGCTTTATTCTCGGCGCCTCCGTCTAGTTGGTTTCAGTTTTGGTTGGCGCTGAGATGAAGCATGCGCGTTGCTTATGTGTGAGCGCACGGTAAGGTATTTATCTATCGTGTGCTTGTGTCTTGCGTCTCTTGTCAAAGCACGTGGCTTGGTGTTTACATTGTGGTCACGTGCTTTTGTCGTGTGCTTCAGTGTTGCGTTATGTGAGCGCATGGCTTGTATTGTCTCTCAGTGTCATGCGCTCTCCCGTCTGTTGTCTAGTCCCACCCTCCTTGTTTACTCATTATTAGTTTGTCATGTTCACCTGTGTGTCAATTTACTTTTTGCTTTATAATCCCCCTCATGTTTTCAGTCATTTGCCTGTTCGTCGTCGTCGTTATTCCCATGTCGTGTGCTATCCAGTCCTGTTTGTCCTGCCAGCCCATCCAAGTTTGTTTGAGTGTTTGTTTTATAGTTATGTTTTTCCCCCTCGGGGTGTTTTTTGTTCTAATTTTGTTTTATTTTTATTATCAATAAATCATCCTGTTTGCACTTGAGTCCTTGCTCCCTCATCCTTCCTGAACCCTGACAGTACGAACAGGCCCAAACAGAGGACTCAGCAACAGGATGAGCATAATTATCCTTCCACCCACCACAGCAGAGGAGAGACAGAGGCGCCTTCAGGGGCTGGTGTCGGCCCGCCAGCAAGGTCTGGAGGTAAAAAGCTTTGCCCAGTTTTTTTGGACTTATGCTAGGGGGCTTGAGTTTGATGACGCCACTCTGAAGGAAGCTTTTAATCTCTGTCTCGATGAACCCCTGCCACAGTGGGAGATGGATCAGCTTGGGGTGTTGGACTTCTGGGGCTTTTCACTTTATCTCCACCACCGTAAGGATTGGCAGATCCTCACACCTCCAGCTGATTGTGGCAAGTACTCCACCCTTCCTTCCTCTACGAGTGCAGCTCATGACCTCCCTCTGACTCGGTCGAGTAAACGGAGGCTGCAGAGAAAGAGGGCTGCCCAAACTGCTGCATCAGCCCCTGAGCGCCCTCCAGTGTCGGCTCCAGCCCCTGAGCGCCCTCCAGTGTCGGCTCCAGCCCCTGAGCGCCCTCCAGTGTCGGCTCCAGCCCCTGAGCGCCCTCCAGTGTCGGCTCCAGCCCCTGAGCGCCCTCCAGTGTCGGCTCCAGCCCCTGAGCGCCCTCCAGTGTCGGCTCCAGCCCCTGAGCGCCCTCCAGTGTCGGCTCCAGCCCCTGAGCGCCCTCCAGTGTCGGCTCCAGCCCCTGAGCGCCCTCCAGTGTCGGCTCCAGCCCCTGAGCGCCCTCCAGTGTCGGCTCCAGCCCCTGAGCGCCCTCCAGTGTCGGCTCCAGCCCCTGAGCGCCCTCCAGTGTCGGCTCCAGCCCCTGAGCGCCCTCCAGTGTCGGCTCCAGCCCCTGAGCGCCCTCCAGTGTCGGCTCCAGCCCCTGAGCGCCCTCCAGTGTCGGCTCCAGCCCCTGAGCGCCCTCCAGTGTCGGCTCCAGCCCCTGAGCGCCCTCCAGTGTCGGCTCCAGCCCCAGAGCGCAGCTCAGTGCCGGTCCCAGTCCGGCTCCTTGCCCTGCCGGCGCCACCCAGACGTCTTGCCCTGCCGGCGCCACCCAGACGTCTTGCCCTGCCGGCGCCACCCAGACGTCTTGCCCTGCCGGCGCCACCCAGACGTCTTGCCCTGCCGGCGCCACCCAGATGTCAAGCCCTGCCGGCCCCAGCCCGGCACCTTGCCCTGCCGGCACCTACCAGACGTCTTTCCCTGCCGGCACCTACCAGACGTCTTTCCCTGCCGGCACCTACCAGACGTCTAGCCCTGCCGGCCCCAGCCCGGCTCCTTGCCCTGCCGGAACCTACCAGACGTCTTGCCCTGCCGGCCCCAGCCCGGCTCCTTGCCCTGCCGGCGCACCCCAGACGTCTTGCCCAGCCGGCCCCAGCCCGGCTCCCAGCCCCGCCGGCTCCCCTCTGGTCTTCAGCCCCGCCGGCTCCCCTCTGGTCTTCAGCCCCGCCGGCTCCCCTCGGGTCTTCAGCCCCGCCGGCTCCCCTCGGGTCTTCAGCCCCGCCGGCTCCCCTCGGGTCTTCAGCCCCGCCGGCTCCCCTCGGGTCTTCAGCCCCGCCGGCTCCCCTCGGGTCTTCAGCCCCGCCGGCTCCCCTCGGGTCTTCAGCCCCGCCGGCTCCCCTCTGGTCTTCAGCCCCGCCGGCTATAGTTAAGTCGCCTCTAGACCAGCCGGTTCCCCACAGGCCTTCATCCCAGCCGGCCCCCCACAGACCTCTGGTCTTGTTTACCCTCATAGACCCTCCCTGGGTCGTCCCTCCTGCTCCTCCCTGGTGTTCCTTTCCTCCACCCTGGACGGACCCACCGGCTCCACCCTGGTTCCCTGCTGGGGCTCCTGACCCGCTGGACCCACCCTGGACAGTTCCTCCGGTCCCACCCTGGACTGATCCTCCCTTGTCTTGCCCTCCCATCCCTCCCTTGTTTGTCGTTTTGGGTCTGGCTTGGCTTCCCTCCCTCCCCCCCTTCATGTTGTCTTGCCTGTTCACCTCCCTGTCTTGTGTCTGTTGATGTTGCCAGTTTTGTTGTCTTGTAGTTCTTGTCTGTCTTGTACCTTGTTGGATGTTCCCTTTAGGGACGCCAGGTGGCGTCCCTTTTGGGGGGGGCTAGTGTCAGGGTTCTGCCACTTTGGTCTTGTAAATTCTTGTTTTGGTGGCAGAGCTCTGACACTACTCCACGTCTGGTCCTGTTTCTGTCTCTGTGTGCGCGCGCGCGCCGTCGTGGGTGTACGCAGAGTGTGCGCGCTGCCACTTGATGTGGCCGCGCACGCTCTGCGTCCCTCAGACGCGCGCGCTCTTGTACTAGTGTTTGTGTTTGTTCTGTCAGCAGCGCGCTGCTTTATTCTCGGCGCCTCCGTCTAGTTGGTTTCAGTTTTGGTTGGCGCTGAGATGAAGCATGCGCGTTGCTTATGTGTGAGCGCACGGTAAGGTATTTATCTATCGTGTGCTTGTGTCTTGCGTCTCTTGTCAAAGCACGTGGCTTGGTGTTTACATTGTGGTCACGTGCTTTTGTCGTGTGCTTCAGTGTTGCGTTATGTGAGCGCATGGCTTGTATTGTCTCTCAGTGTCATGCGCTCTCCCGTCTGTTGTCTAGTCCCACCCTCCTTGTTTACTCATTATTAGTTTGTCATGTTCACCTGTGTGTCAATTTACTTTTTGCTTTATAATCCCCCTCATGTTTTCAGTCATTTGCCTGTTCGTCGTCGTCGTTATTCCCATGTCGTGTGCTATCCAGTCCTGTTTGTCCTGCCAGCCCATCCAAGTTTGTTTGAGTGTTTGTTTTATAGTTATGTTTTTCCCCCTCGGGGTGTTTTTTGTTCTAATTTTGTTTTATTTTTATTATCAATAAATCATCCTGTTTGCACTTGAGTCCTTGCTCCCTCATCCTTCCTGAACCCTGACAGTTCCGTTTATTATTGTTATTAGGAACTAAGCACCAACAGTAAAATGGCTCAAAAGAGCCACCTATACACTTTGACAATGTTAAATTGTGAAGATCTAGAGTTTTTGTCAGAGTGTGTGTCTATGGCAGGCTCACAAACTTTAATGTTTATCCACAAAAGTGGAAGTTGTTATAACTTAGGCATGCATTGTCCGATCTTTCTCAAAATATATGAGTCCTAACCTGAACACGTTTACATGCCAATATCCAGTTAGAGTCATAGCACCACCTGCTGGCAACAGGTAATAACGTGTTTTACACTGTAACAAATTCCTTCTCAAAATGTAATCAGATCAGTTCTTGTCATCCATGGTAAAACTGTCACATTGCACAACATGGAGCAAATTAATTTGTAATGACCAGACTGCAGATGTATTATTTTTTGACAATGATCTGGCTCCATGCAGATAATCTTTAACAACAGCTCTCCCTTGACCCACCTTTTGTACACACAAGTGAACAACCGGTGTTTCATCAATTGGCCAGGTGCGGTCCATTACTTTTCAAATGTTCTGTATTATCTGGCCTTTGCACCACTGAGCCTAGCCCTCTTGACCTTCATGCATATATGAACATGACACTGCTGAATTTATTGAAAGGGTGTGTGAGAGAGGCTAAGTTTTGGCACGCAAGAGAGGCCACACATCTCCATACAGTCTACCACCATTGGCTGATCTTGTTTCTTCGTGGTGTTTTAGTTGTGACATGAAAAATACTTTACTTGTCACTGCCACCATAGGACAAATTGTGCATTGCTGCCAAAAATGTTGGTGAGATCCGTGTTCAAATTAAGGGGGGAAAGAGGGTGGCCAAGCTTGTTGAGCCAGGGGCACTGGTCCCACCTTAGAACTGCTACTGCTCCTCGGTAGAGCAATTGTCTCCCATGCAGATATTGTTTTGTCGGGGTCAAAATTGACGATATTATGATGTTGCACATTATCTCTCTATTTTCCATGTGCATAGCTTTCTTAATGACTGTTGTAAAGAATATAATCTATTTAAGTAAGAGAAACAGGAAAATAGTATGTCAAAAATTAAATAGATAAGCACAATGTTAGCAGTAAGGACAATTGAGATGAAAGATATTAGTTACAAAACCAGGAAAATATAACACAGATGTGCCTATATGTGACCCCCCCCTACACTCTTACTGTTCAATATTGAAATCAAAATCAGAAAAAGTTGGAACAGTATGGAAAACGCTTTTTTGTCGTAGTTTGCACCACACATTTATTGGAGATAGGTTGGGACTGCAGGCAGGCCAGTCAAGTTCTTTTATCATCTTCCTCTATAGCCAGGACTTTGTGATGGGTGCAGAATTTGGTTTTGAATTGTCTTGTTGAAATATGCATGGGTGTCCCTGGAAAAGAAGGCAGCATATTGTGTTCCAAAATCTCTATGTACTTTCAGCAGTAATGGTGCCTTCATAGACATGCAAGTTACCTTTGCCAAGGGCACTGACTCATCCCATACCATGACAGACACTGGTTTTTGGACTTGTTGCTGGTAACAATCTGGATAATCCTATTCTTATTTGGTCCACACAGCATCAATTTTTGCAATTCCTTTTGGCACAGTGCAGTTTTAACTGCCATTTGTGAATGTAACTAACCATTGTGGTATTTGACAAAGGTTTGCCAAAGTAGTCCTTAGCCCATGTGGTGATATCGCTTTTAGATTAATGTTATTTATCGATGCCTGCCTGAGGGATCAGAGATCACGATAGTTCAACTCAGCCTTGCTCCCATGTCCTTTACGTAGGAAATGATTTATTACTTACAAAATTATTCCAGAATCCTTGAATCTTTTATTTATGTTATGCAGTGTTGACGATGAAATATCGAAGTGTCTTCTGATCTTCTATTTAGGAACATTGTTTTTAAAGATTTCAATAATTTTATTTTGTTTTTGATGGCAAACTGTCAATCATTGCCCCATCTTTGCTCCAAAAGGACTAGACCTTCTTGGATGCTGTTTTTGTACTTTTGACACTTGTTTCAAATTACATCATTAACCAATTTACCTGAATAAAATGAAATGAAGTTTATAAGACAAAACTTTAAATATTTTTGTTCATATTGTCAGCAATGAGGGGCGAGGCAGTGGCGCAGTAGGTAGTGCTGTCGCCTGGGTTGCTAGTTCGAACCTCGGCTCAGTTGGTGTTTCTGTGTGGAGTTTGCATGTTCCCCCTGCCTTCGCGTGGGTTTCCTGCCGGTGCTCCGGTTTCCCCCACAGTCCAAAGACATGTGGTACAGGTGAATTGGGTAGGCTAAATTGTCCGTAGTGTTATGAGTGTGTGTGTTAATGTGTGTGTGGATGTTTCCCAGAGATGGGTTGCGGCTAGAAGGGCATCCGCTGCGTAAAAAACTTGCTTGATAAGTTGGCGGTTCATTCCGCTGTGGCGACCCCGGATTAATAAAAGGGACCAAGCCGACAAGAAAATGAATGAATGAATGAATTGTCTGCAATGAAATACAAGTAAATTTGGAAATCACTACTTTGTTTGTTTCTTTATTTTCCATTTCTGTTTCAACTTTTTCTGATTTTGGGTTCTTCCATCATATATTGGGCAGCCATCCAGCATCTCTCAACCCAGATTTCTACTTGAGATGTGCAGCACGGGCTCCAACTTTGGCACTGGAGTTAATCACTGCCACTCTAGTCATTCATTGCCACATGCCAACATGGATTCAATAGAGTCAGAATAAATTCTGAACATCCTTAGCTCAAACATTTAATATTTTTTCACAACCATTTTCCCCCTCAACATGTTATTGAATTTTCATTCTCATATGTTTGGTAGACTTGATAGACCGCCGATGAATTCTCCGTTGTAAGCATGTAGTTTCCAGAAGCACTCGAACTGGGCTGGGCTATAATGCTGAGGTATTTTTGTAAAAATAAACCTCAACCACTGACTCAACACAGTTTCATCTTTGGGTAGAGACTTTCAATAATATCCAGCTGAGCACAACGTTGATTCTACCGGCATCTGCTACAGTGTGTGTCTAGCCTTTTTTCTGTGTTAGTGGTAGGGTTGGGGATCGTTTTTTTCGATGGCGGTGCTAAATCGATACTTTTTAAATGGTACCGGTGCCAAAACGGTGCCTGAACCGATACCTTTTAGCCACAAAATTAATTGACAAAAAATATACATTTATCATTATAATTGAACAATATAAATATATATTTATAATAAGTTCAAAGTATACATCAATTCATATTTTATTTATTTGAATTGCATTAATATATTTCTTTTGATCATTTGTTTGTTAGCATAAATGCAAAATTTGCATTATGCCATTAACATTAAATTAGCTTACTACTAACCTGTGGAAAGGCAGCCATCAAAATCAGGGAACACCTTTTTTCTGGGTTTGGGGCTTGTACCTTTACATGGACATCGTTGATCTAATGATTTGCCTTAATCTAATTAAGACAATAATATAATTCATGTGTGTACATGAGCTGCTTTTTGAATGTTACATTTGTGATTCCCAGTTACATGTTATAGCACATAGATCCATCAACATCATTGCGTCACCAGCCAATACATGTTTCCTCTGCAGTTTGTGTCTGTGGTCCTTTAAGATAATCAAAAATCACTGTTTACATAATAGACTCGTGATCAGAGTACCGTCTTAATATATTACAATCAGAGTATTTGTGTTCATGTAAACACACCCAGATAATGTGCCAGATAATGTCACAAGCTGTTAAAGACAGTCCATTCCTCACCTTTAAGGTGATTCCATGAGCCCTCACATTTCATAAGTTTGACGTGTTTCTCCCCTACACACAATTTTTGTAAAACATCTGCTGCATGTTAGTGTTTCAGAATCCTTGCTTGTAAAATATAGCTATACTGCAGAATGTTTAGTTTAAGCGAATTAGATGAACGCAATCTTGCGTGTTGATGAAGTGAGTCGCTCGCCACATGCGCCGTACTGCACGCTTTGCCTTCTATAAGCTACAATAACAAACGCCTGACATCACTGACATCCATATCCCTTAAAGCTAATTAGAATTAAACATTTAGAGACGGTGTGACACAATGCTTACTTATGTGGGCCTTTAACGCACCCCTTTATGCTAGTTAAGGGCGTCACACAGTGGATGCACCACTTATACACCAGATATGCACATTCGCATGTTATTTAAAATGAAACTATTGGCACCCAGATGGCGCTTTGTGGCATTGCAACTTGCGAATTCTAAAATGCATGGCACTGCGCATCGCCAAACGGCGCTTCTGGTGTGCGACCTGCTTTACGTTCTTGTTGCAGCACCGAAATTCATATGCTGATTTGATCTGGTGCATACCGGTTCCCAGGTTTTGGTACCCAACCCTACTTAGTGGGCGGGGCCGCATGCTTCAAATCTCCTTAGTTTGCGCGCTCAACAATTGGGCGGGGCTTAAGTTTTATAGGCACGTCTTGTCGAAAAGGCTAAAGACTCATTGTCAAGACGATTCCTTTGAAGTACTAGGAGTCGACTCTTTTGTAAATTAATCAATAGTTTTAAACACTGTCCACTTTCAGATTTAAGCCTTAACTGGATATTTCACTTCACTTAGAGCTGTGTTGCAAACTACATGGGAGGTCATTCTCAAAAACCCATAATAGGGGCTCTGTCAAAAATTGAGATTAGGAGAAACATTCACTCTATGATAATTAAGCTCTTTGTTAAGAAAGGAGCATAAAACATATATATAGTGGAAGCAGGTTTGAGGAAGAATACAATATCTTGCAGTCCATTCTCTGTTGCTCTCGGGCCTAGAAAGAAGCATAATAAACAGACATATTAATATTATTGCATATAATTATGGTAATACTTCGAAATAAGTATGTATAATAATGTAATACCAATATGTATACTACCATAAATAATGAACATTACATTAATTACAGTATTTATTTATCTGTTAACGTTAGATAACAAAGTTGTCTTTTTTGGTTAATGGCATAATCTAATAAATGCAAACAGACATTTGTGACTTACATGATATACCAGCTGATTGCCAACTGATTTAATTTTTTTTTTTTCCTTTGCAGTTTGCAGCATTCATTATGTTACAGGTGGCTGAAGGCAGAGGCCGCATCCATCCAGGAATAGACAGTGACAAAGCCCTAAAAGAAATGTTCAGAAATCAAGATCGCAATACAGATGGAAAGATAACTGAAGATGAACTGAACATCATAGTAAATGAAGAAAAGGAAGTGGTTACACATATGGAGTTGTGAGTGAGAACAACCAGAAAATAAGGTGCTTAAAATTTTTTAACTGTCTTTATAAAATTCGTAAAGGTTTTATGAGGGGTAAAAACTACAATAAATAAAAAAAAAGAATTATATATTTATATAATTATACACACACATATATATATATATATATATATATATATATATATATATATATATATATATATATATGTGTGTGTGTATATTTGTATATATATATTTTTTGTTTATATATCAGTATGTGTATATATATATATATATATATATATATGTGTGTGTGTGTGTGTGTGTGTGTGTGTGTGTGTGTGTGTGTGTGTGTGTGTGTGTGTATGTATATATATATATATATATATATATATATATATATATATATATATATATATATATATATATATATATATATATATACACTGTAAACGATTTCTTGTTAAATTAACAGTAAGTTACTGGCAACAATTATCCAGTAGCTGCTGTATTTCATAAAACAGTAACATTACTGTAATACTAATTACTTTAGTATTACATTTACTGTAAAATGTAATACATCATTTTACTCTTTTCTTTTTTTACTGTAACACTAATTACAGTAGTGATACACATACTGCAAAACTGAAAACAGTATTTTACTGTACATTTTTACCATGCAGAACTACGGTATTTTAATGTTACTTTCATTATTACTGTATAGTATTTTACAGTTATTAAATGTTATTTTATTGTATTTAATAGTGCTACTTTATAATGAGCAAAATATTTTCAAAAATTGCACAAATGTTATTTTAACTGTTCAAGAAATACAAGAAAAATAAAGAAACTGAAACTTTAACTTCACAATAAAAGTTTATTGTGTAAACCCTACTGAAACAGTAGCAATTATTCAATATAACAAAGCAACAGAACACTAATGAACAATTGATCATTAAAACCAGTCAACAATTAATGTATCAAAAAGTATTACAATTTAAAAAAAAAAACACCGCACTGCTGTTTTATATAAATGAAACACTGTTTTTTATTGTTTTTTGTTGGCAAAATACAGATTGTTGTCTATTTACAATTACACTAACGTTAATGGGGAAAAGATCAGTCAAGTCAACACTTGTCAAGTGTCCACACAGGTATGTAAAAAATAAAGTCTCATCCTAACTTAATGTCTGACTCTGTATAGCTTGAATATCTGATTCCATGACTACACTAGCGCTTCCACGGATTTAAGAGGGGTGAACACAGTTCATTCTGACCTTAAGAGGCTACATATTTAAAATAAATAAATAAATAAAATAATATATTTTAACGTGACTAATGTTAATCAAGTACTCACTAATGTCGAAGCACTTCCAGGTTGTCAGAGATGTAGACAGGACAGAATATGTTTCATCAAATGAGCTCTTGTGCAGCCTTTGTTGGACATCAAGGTAGTATGTTCACCCACACTGTAAATAAAAAAAAAATCTGTTATTTTGCATGTTTTTTTTCCCAGCAGCTAGGGTAATAGAGTCATTTGGGTAAGTCAAGTGGTTTATAATAATTTTATTTATTAAATACTTGCTTACCCATATATAGATGTAAAAGTAACCAAAACAAATCATTTATTAAAATGTGAGGGATACTAAGCATGTTTGGTCTACAGAGAGAAGTAAACATTTACTTTAAGCATTGATCCTAATGAATCTATTTCTGAACTACATCCAACCTCGCCTCGGAAACAGCATTTTTGAGCATTTAGATCAGGGGTGCACAACCCTGTTCCTGGAGATCTACCTTTCCACAGAGCTCACCTGCAACCTTGATCAAGAACACCTGTCTTTATTTACCAAGTGCTGCTTCAGATACTTAGTTTGTTTAGTTGCTATTGATCAGGGTTGGAGCTAAACTCTGCAGAAAGGTCGATCTCCAGGAACAGGGTTGAGCACCCCTGTTTAAGACAATGAAAAATAAGACATCTAGATGATATTTTATATTCAATCATTTGTGAAATTTAAATGACTTCTATTCAGTATATACATAAAATAAAATTAGAATAAGAATAAAAAATAATACTCTATGTCAAATAAAATACTTCAGATCTAAATAAAGCAGGTGTTTTTACCTAAAGGTTCCTTTCCTCCAGTTAGTTTAGTTGCAGATCCCTCCACATCTGTGCTTTATTTGGTTCCTGACTTAAGAGTAACTGATGTCACATTCCAGGTCCATCACAATCTGAGCTGGAAAGAAAATATGGCAAAAGACAAGACACATATAAATAAGTCTCAGAATAAAATATTTAAAAGGATAGTTACTTTTCTGCCACCATTACTCCATGTGTTTTAAATCCATTTAAATTTCTATTGAACACTAAAGCAGATATTTTGAAGAATGTTAGAAACCAATAACTATTGACATCCATATTTCAACCAAATTTTTTAAAAAAAATATGAGTTTGTGTTCAATGGAACAAAAAAAATCTAACTATTTTGAAACAAGTGGAGGATGCCAAAGATGCCATTATTTTAATTTTTGGGTGAACTATCCCTTCAATTCAAGTGTCCCGCATTACTCATAAAAACTGATGTATCGCTTGAGGAAAACTAAATCAAGTACCTCGTGTGAGCAAGTGTGATGTCATTGTATTCAGCCAACTGACCCAGCCGAGGCTCAAACCAGCAACCTTCTTGCTGTGAGGTGACAGCACTACCTACTGTGCCACTGCGTTGCTACTGGAAGAAGAAAAAGAGGTTGTACATGAAACTCCTCACAACAAATCTGTGAACAACTTGACATTTCAAAATCTAATCAAAATAGGGAAGACATCAACATTACCTTGAACAATCAAGTGAGGAGAGATTGGTAGCATCAGTTTTTTCAACATCAATTGCTGTAGCTGCAAAAAAAGATAAATATAATAAGAGTAAAATAAGACAACATTTAATGATCTAAATCTATGGTACAACCATACACATCTGTATGGGGTTCAAATAAATTTGAATAAAAATCATTCCCTACACCTGAACACCAAAATAAAATGTACAATTAAAGACACACTAACGTTATACAATAAGCTCATTAACCAGTGAGAAATAGACAATAAATATGAATTATGTTAATATTAAAGTACGCTTAAAAGACATCAACTGAATTTTATTATCAGCTCAATTTAATAAAACAGTTAGACTTGTTTCATCAGTGAGTTTAGTGAATATATTTAGTGAATAACTTACAGTTACCAAATTTAACCATAATGATAACGTAGTCATAATGACCACGTGAAGACCAGAGCTTACCTTATCTGAGTGTTGTGCTGAAATAGAGAATTCATTAATGCAGTTAACCCCAAGTAAAAGTGAAGTTTTTTTTCAGGTAAGGTTACTATGGTCAAAAACTCACTCAAGATAAACTCACTGTACGTTATCTAATACCTCGCAAACACTACAAACACGGTCTGGCATGGAGGAACTATGATGTCACTTTGTAGGTTAATCGGCTGCTAGCATAAAACTGGTTCCCTCGTGGAAATCCCTATAGGATTTTCCCATAGGCTTTTCGAAGATTGCAAATAATAAGCTCTGTGTTCAAACACTGTTCATTACACTTACACGTTTTGTCCAGTCGGATAATCCTCACACGAAGATACAACTTTGAGCACTTTTGGATCTTTAATGCAAATGCAAGAACTGAAAAGCTAACATGAGGCTATAAACGGACTACAGAGCCCTCGGGGCGCGCGCCTGTGACGTCAGCCCCACCCTGCTACAGACAACTTTTCAAGCTTATTTTTAAATATAATGTCCATGACAAAGAGTTAATCTCTCTGTATATTATATTATACTCCACGCTATATATTATAAACAAATAAATACGCAAAAATACACAGACCTATGTGCCTTTTGGATCGTTTTTACATGGGAAATACATCTGTTTTGCTTTACGGTTGTTCTAAAAGTTTTAAAACTGTGTATGAATCTGCTTCTATAGTATTAACATAAGACATATTTAAGAAAGTGTATCGCTCGCGTGCACACAGTCTTAACAGACGACAGAAATTAGGCGTGAGGAACAAGTCTATCAAATGCCTGCAAGTTCCATCATCATGGACACAGAGCAACAATCAATATTCCTTTTTTGTCACGAAGTACAGTGAAAAAAAGCTTTAACAGTCACATCTGCTATACATTTTATAGAGGAGTGTAAATATTGCAGTTATGACAGAGTTAAATGTGTTCAGTTGAAGAAAAAAAAGGCACGAAAAAAATCACTTGATCACGTTTTAATGACAGTTAATATGTGTGTATTTTTACACATTTATTCACACGTTTGCATTACTGAGAGTAGGAGAGAGACAGGCTGCACTGGTCAGCAGTTCTTCATTATATCGTTTAATTAAAATAAATGATTAGCATATTAATCTGTCTCGACAGCCTTTAAAAGTGAAGGAATTATCAACACACAATCTGAATTCCCAATTAGAATAATACAACACTATAAAATACTATTCATGAAAATACCTAAAATCACAGACAAATCCAAATGCCCAACACAAGCAAGCTGCGCTCCAGACCAGATCAGCTCGATGACGTATAATGTCCCCGACACCGACTGTAGTCCCATTTAGCAACTTGATAGCAACGGTCTTTTTAAAGAAGCGTAATCGATTTAAAAATGCAAGAGTGTGCTGTAACTGATGTGTTTTTTATCGTAGAACAAAACGTGAAATTATCTTGAAATTGTGTTAGCCACAGACCTTATTTAAGCGATTTTACTGAAACCCCATTCAAAAAACCCATTGACTTTAGGACGAGGGAACCGGAAGTCCTAAAATGCTAACTCGCTTCCGGGTTTTTGCATACAAATTGACGTCATAGTTCCTCCACTCTATGGCGGATGAGAAAAGCCAGATCATATCATAAATATTGCGTTTAATATGTCACGAAATGAAGTTTTAACAGTTTTTCATGCGAGAATGTAGTTCTTCCAAACTCAAATCTGTGGTTTGTTTATAGATATCATGTCTAATTTTAAGTGTGCTTTGCCGATAGGGAAGTTTCTGACCTCCAGGGGTTGACGGCGCTCCATCACTCATGTATCGGGCAAACCTCATGCTTTAATCGGCCTGGACATTATTGAGACATGCCCCTGCCTTCGATGACTAGATAATAAATGTGTTATAAAATAAAGTTTTAACCGTTTTTCATGCGAGAATGTAGTTGTTTTAAACTCATGTCTGTGGTTTATTTATTAAGATAATGTGTATTTTAATATGTTGTTTTGAAAATGCGGAGATATGTGACCTCTACGGTGGCCCATATGGTTGCCCAATATTCTTGAATCCGTCTAAAGCAGGTTGGTCACTCTGAAATTTAAGCTGACATTGAAATCATTTTGTGTGTTTAACAGTCTTTGGTTACGTGAATCAATTATTTTTGTTCCAATTTACGTTTTGGTTTAGCACAAAGTTATGTTTATTAAATATTATTTAATATTTCCATGTTACCTTATAAAATGAAGGAGCAGTGCACCCAAAAATGGAAAGCCAGGGGACAGTTTAATGCACTGAATAGTCTGAAGAAACTGGTTAGGTTATTTACTTCACAAAATAATTTGTCTAAAAATAAATAAACATAATAATCATAATATATAGTGTGTGTGGAGTTGTTCTTGGTCATTTGCAGTACTGTATTTAGATGCACAGTAACTGATTTTTCCCCAACATTCATTATAAAATCTACAGTAACATACTGTTAACCATGTCCACAGTATAGAAAAGTTGAAAATACATTATTATACTGTGAAAACAACAATATATACAGTAACACACTGTGCACAGCTTATACAGTAAAAAACTGTTGAGAAATGCAGTATAATACTGTGAAAACAACAGAAATCATTTACAGTGTATGTATGTATATATATATATATATATATATATATATATATATATATATATATATATATATTTATTTATTTTTTCAGTTTATATATATATATATATATATATATATATATATATATATATATATATATATATATATATATATATATATATATATATATAACTGAAAAATCACATGTACATAAGTATTCACAGCCTTTGCTGTCTTTTGGAATATGATGCCATAAGCTTGGCACACCTATCTTTGGGTATTTTTGCCCATTTCACTTTGCAGTACCTCTCAAGTTCTAACAGGTTGGATGGGAAGCAATGGTGTACAGCCATTTTCAGGTCTCTCCAAAGATGTTCAATAGGAATTAGGTCTGACCTCTGGCTGGGCCACTAAAGGACATTCACCAAGTTGTTGTGAAGTTTGTCCATTGATATTTTGGCGGTGTGCTTTGGGTCATTGACCTGCTTGAAGATGAACCGTCACCCCAGTCTGAGGTTAAGAGCACTCTGAAGCAGGTTTTCATTCAGGATGTCTCTGCACATTGCTGCATTCATCTTTCCCTCTATCCTGACTAGTCTTCCACTTCCTGCTGCTGAAAAACATCCCCACAGCATGATGGTGCCACCACCAAGCTTCACTTTAGGGATGGTATTAGCCTTGTGATGAGCAGTGCCTGGTTTTCTCCAAATACAGAGTGATCATTGGGTTATTGATCACCTCCATGACTAAGCCCTAGCCCCTTCTCCCCCGATCATTCAGCTTAGATGGCCAGCCAGCTCTAGGAAGAGTTCTGGTGGTTTCAGACATCTTGCACTTATGGATGATGGAGGCCACTGTGCTCATTGGAACTTTCAGAGCAGCAAAAATGAATCGTAACCTTCCCCAACCTTGTGCCTAGAGACAATCCTGTCTCGGAGGTCTAAAGACAATTCCTTCATCTTCATGCATAGTTTGTGCTTTGACATGCACTGTCAACCCTGGGACCTTATATAGACAGGTGTGTGCCTTTTCAAATCATGTCCAATCAACTGAAATTACCACAGGTGAACTCCAATTAAGCTGCTGAAACATCTTAAAAATTGATTATTGGAAACGTAAATGTATCTGAGCTCAATTTAGAGCTTTACGAGCAAGGCTGTGAATACTCATGTACATGTGGTTTTTCAGGTTTTTTTATTAGTTCTTTTATTTTCTTGTCGGCTTAGTCCCTTTATTATTCCAGGGTGGCCACATCGGAATGAACCGCCGACTTATCCAGCACGTTTTTACGCAGCAGATGCCATTCCAGCCGCAACCCATCTCTGGGAAACAGCCACACACACACACACACACACACACACACACACACACACACACACACACACATACACACACACACACACACTCATACACTACGGTGTACAATTTAGCCTACCCAATTCACCTGTACCGCATGTCTTTGGACTGTGGGGTAAACTGGAGCACCCAGAGAAAACTCACGCGAACACAGGGAGAACATGCAAACTCCACACAGAAACGCCAACTGAGCAGAGGTTCCATCCAGAGACCTTCTTGCTTTTTCAGGTTTTTTATTTTTAATAAATTTGCAACAATAAAAAAATACATTGCCATTATGAAATAGTGTGTGTAGAGGTTTGAGGAAATAAATTAATTTAATAAATTTTGGAATAAGGCTGTAAATGTGGAAAAAGTGAAGCGACATGAATACTTTCCGGATGCACAGTACATTAGTAAGCAGTTTATAAATACAGCTACACATGCAATGTTCTTGACTTATTTTCAGACACATACACACAAACACACACACACACACACACATAGTGCTCAATAATTATATTTTCATACTTTGTTAATGATTCATTTATCATTAATAATTTATGTTTTGCATTATTTACAAACCACCAGTGTTTAAAAATATTTGACTTTTTAAGATCATTCAGAATGAGTAAGTAAATGATTAATAATATATTCAAAATAGCGTTTATATATATATATATATATATATATATATATATATATATATATATATATATATATATATATATATATATATTATTATTATTATTATTATATACATATAGTAATAGTTACTCTGTATGTTAATAAATGCTTTATTAACACAATTCATGCAGTTTTGTAACCTAATCTAAAGTGCAGACTGTTTATGCTTTGTAGATCCCTTGTAAATTGATTTAATGAATATGGTTTGAGTTACAGCAGTGGTTTTTGCATCAAAAGTATTTAAAATGAGCTGGCCTATCTGGAGCTGGTTGAACATTTTTTGAATAATTACTGATATAGGCAGTCCAGAGATTGGTACAATATGGGCAATATTATTACAAAAATAAGAAACAGCAACTAGTTTTGATTAGATTTTAAGTAAAAGTGTTAGGTATGACCATGCATATCATGTACAGTAATTTGATGATGATATGTAGTTTGGGTGCCTGTGCGAAACATTGTGTAATACACAACAATTAAACACTCAAAACACATAAAATTGCCTCAGTAGTGGATTTCTTTAAAATTCTTACAGACCTCTAAAATGAATCGAAAATGCCCATCAAGTTTCTTTCTGATTAGCCATAATTAACCTTTTTAAATATAACCTGATCAAATTATAATTTGTTAATGGTGGCCAGTATGTAACGCCTCCATGGAAATGGACGAAGACACTGCATCCCAAACTTCAAGTTGATCGGACAAACAGTTGCTTGATTAGGGTTTTTTTTTTTTTTTTACTTTATAGCACCACCATGTAGCCAAAGTCTGCTGGGTTTTTTTCTGTGATGTCAAATTGACCTTATACATATGTGTATCACATTTTGTGAAACATTTTGAATCTCATCCTGTTTAAAAGCTATAGCTGCAATTACATTTTTGTACACTACAAGAACATTTTTTTGTGTACCGTTTTACCCCCTCAAAAAAATAAAAAATTGATGTTCAGTGTGCAGAAAATATTTCTGCTCTGGTTTGGTACAGATCAGGCAAAAATCTCAGGACTAGTTTACAAAAGTAAACTATGGTCAAAGCTTGATTTTGTGGAAAAACAAATATAAAATGAGTCTATGACAAATAGTCTGTTCTTCGTTTGTGGATTACTCAGTTAGCTGGATTTGGATATTGACGATTTGAAATGATCCAGGATCATTTCGTTCTTCAGAGCTGATGCGAGAGTTGTTGTCATAGCAACAGTTCTGTTAGATCAAACCTGGTTGAAAGCAGGCTCATTTCATATAAACAGGATTAGATCGGGTCAGTTCAAGCAAAGATAATAGTAAAAGTATGTGCCGAATTCTAAAATTTTCTTACAGTAGTAGTTATATACACTTGGGAAAATAGTAAATATTTTTAGCTATATATATATATGTGTGTGTGTGTGTGTGTGTGTGTGTGTGTGTGTGTGTGTGTGTGTGTGTGTGTGTGTGTGTGTGTGTGTGTGTGTGTGTGTGTGTGTGTGTGTGTGTGTGTTTTTGCGTTATTTCGAGCAAATTTGTACTTCTGGTTTGAAACAAATTTTGAAGCTATGTCACGGCCATGAGATCTTAGCGTATATTCCTGCATGTAGACTGGACGTGACGTCTGTACCTGGGAGTACCGTAATTCGTCTATCAGTGTGCTGCATTAATTCATGATTAAGACTTGGTTCAAAACCAATCAGTGCGCTCTATTGTGTATGCGAACTTCATTAATATGCATGCTAGCTTCGAAGACTGTACCTGAAACAGTGTTCAGACGGCAGAGAGATGACACGTTGTGTTGCCAAAAGAAGTGGGAAAAGAATAAGAATTATATTACATACACACGGCTTTCTGACTTACCGAGTGCATCTGAGTTACTGAGAAATGCAGAAGTTTTTTCTTTTATACGACGTGCGTACAAACAATCCACCATCATTAAACACAGTCACTGTCTTTCTCCCCTGCGTGTGTGTTTGTTTTTCCTCAGTGAAAATCGACGCGTACCCAAATGGAAACTCTCATTTTTATTCAAATCCTTTCCCTTTTACCTCTCTAACACTTCCACCCAAACAGAGCTAGACACACCCACTTTCCTGACTTTTTCCAAACTAGAGGTGTGAAAACACCGTGTTGAAAGGGGGGTTTCATGGCCCTTTAAGTACAATTTGTGTATGATAATAGAAACGCACAATATGTAACTTTTTTAAAAACCAATAATACATTTATGCAGTCATTAACATGTTTTGACAGTTAATATATAATGGTTTATTTGATGTTTTACAAAAGTTGCAGACACCTTTACTATTATCAAAATGCTTTTATAAACATCCAGTTATTCTTTACACCGATTAAAAAACAGCTACTATAATACTACTATGGCTACTATAATAAGGAAAATCCACTCTAACTGTAAAACTAAATAAGTTGCCACATGAAAGGGCCAAGCCTGCCAAGTACACCCGTCTGCAGCCCACAGACAGACGGAAACACATTGATGATGTTATGCTTTAGAAATATTTACATGGCTACATATCAATAATGGGTTGCTTTCTTAGGTTCGAGACATCCCTAGAGGAAACTATTAATTTAGACTTTATTA